TTGTGTCAGTTTCTGGTGTACAGCACAATACTTTAGTCATATAGGGACATACATATATTCGTTTTCATATTCTTACACGTGGTCTTCTGTGTCCAGCATTTTTCATTCCCGTACTGTTTTTGAGGCTCATTCATGTAGCATATATCAGTATTTTGCTCTTTTTAAAAAAAATTGCTGAGTAGTATTTATGATTAGTTTTTTAACGAAGTTGGTAACAGAATGCTGGTCTTCTGATGACAAATAAGGGTAAAAGCTGTTAGGCTTGAGTCTAGCTGTTCCTTTATGCCTCTCACACCTGTTACCCTTGATTACTCTCCCAATTCCAAGATCAACAGGATATCTGCCTTTTTGAGTGCTCTTATAATGACGTAACCTTCTTCTCCACAGACCTCATTCAGATTTTACAGATTGTTCCAAAATGTCCACTATAGGTCCAGGATTCAATTCAGGATCACACACTAATTTCTTTCTGTAGAGAGCAGTTCCTCAGCCTTTCTGTATATTTTATAACTTGACATTTTGAAGTGTACAAACCAGCTTCTTTGTGGAATGTCTCAGTCTGAGTTTGTGTGATGTTTCTTTATAATGCTTTTTGCGGGGGTGGGGGGGTGGGGGCAGACATTCTGTGGACTTCTCGGTGTATCATAACAAAAATCATGTGATGTCAGTTTAAATAAATGTGGTGATTAAAGATAGCAGTTTTTGTCCTTATTTTAGAGTAAAAGCTTTTTAATAACCTGAAATGGGAGCTCTCATAGAGGGTAAGTTGAGATATCAACTGGTAGTTGTATTTTTCTACAACTGAGGTTTGAGGCAATTGTGACTGAAAATTTTATATTACATTTATCATCTAACTCATCGATAAGACAGTCACTTATTCATACATTTAGCAAATATTATAGACCCCTGCTATGTGCCTGGCCCTGTGATGGGTGCCAAGGGTCCAAGATCAATCAAACAGGTCTCTGGTCGTTCACTTTCATCCCTGATATGAGTGAAAGACAATTTCAGTAGTGTGTCTGTAGACTTGCAGCATAATTCTTAGGCTTTCAAAAGATCATTAAAAAACATACAGGGAGTTCCAGTCAAGAAGGCACAGTCGTAGGACCACGAGCTTGCCTCTCCTCACAACTACAACGAAACCACAACTGAATGCTAAATGACCAGCTAAAAAGGAGAAAAAAAGATCTTCTGCAACTGGAAACAAAGAAGGAACCACAGTAGGATGGCAGGAGTGGCGTGCTCGTATTATAATTGGGCCCTATACCCCCTGGGTGGGCAACCCATAAGCTGAAGATTTGTTAAGTTGCAGAGGCCCTTCCACAGGAGTGAGAGCTCTAAGCCCCATGTCAGACTCCCCACCTCAGGTCCTGGCATTGGGAAGAAAAGGAGACCCCAGGACATCTGGTTTTGAAGGGCAGGGGGGCTTGGCTCTGAGAGCCTCATGAAACTGGGGGAAACGGAGACTCCATTGCTTGAGAATTGTACATGGAAACTCACACGCACCAGGTCCAAGGTCAGAGTCAGTGATTTCATAGGAACCTGAGCCAGACCTGCCTGCTGGATTTGGAGAGTTTTCTGAGGATGTGTGGGATGGCTGTGGCTCACTTAGGTGGCAGACATTCTGGGAGTGTTCATCTACATGAGCTTTCCTGGAGGCTGACATCTTGATTGGATCATTAGCACCAAGACCAAGCCCCACCCAACAGCCTGCAGGGAAGCCTCAGGCAAAACAACATACAGGGTAGAAATGTTGCAGAAAAACAAGTTACAGCCCACTGTTACAGCTCAGTTGTGACAGCAACCTGGATCCGGGTGAGAGACTAAGCAGCACTCGGAGAGTTGGAGAACTCTGGTGTATTACACTGGTGGGCCCAGAGGAGCTAACACTCCAAGCTCTGGACCCTGTCTATAGGTTTACACAGGCTTTTATAGGCTGCCAGTTTACATTTTGCAACATCATATGCAAATAAGGTATAACAAAAATTGACTAATTAGGAACAAGCTTTGTAGAAATGGACCAATCAGGAGGGAGATAAATA